GCAGATTAAGTCTTTAAATCTCAGTTGGAATCTTATGTGTCTTGGCGGTCCTCACTGGTCAGGGCAGAGCTTTGTAGGAGCAGAGGGGTATTATATACTAAATAGATCAGGGTCCTTCTGGTGCTAAAGATTCTCAAATTTCCCTAAGTGACTCTATCTTACTTGAGAATGACTATTTTAAGAAAAAAAACTTTTCAGGATTGATCACAGGTTCATTTAAGCCCAAGTAATTCCTCCCAAGAGCATCCTCCTAAAATATTACCTTTAGGCCGGAGGATAGGACAGCAGCTTAGGCACTTGCCTTGCATCTGGCCAATCCAGGTTTGATTCCTGGCATCCTATATGGTTCCCTGAATCCCTGAGCGCAGAGCCAGGACTAACCCCTGAGATTGCTGGATAAGGTCCAAAAGCAAAATAAATGAACAAATAATTATTACCTTTAATGGCTTTAGGAAAAAATCCCTAGCATGCAGAACTATTTCTGTGACATTTATTAATATTTACTCTTTCAAAGTTTTTCCAATAAGAACCTCAAAATTGCAGGTGAGTTCCTGTAGTTAACAGAAGATATTTTAAGTCCCTTAAGTTCCTGTAGACTTGTCACTGTTTATTAAGTTAGGAACAAAGACACTTGATACCCTGCAAATCACAAGAGAGGCAAGAAAAAACACAGCTCCCCCTGCACTCAGCACTTTTCATATCTGAATTGCCATTCCAGGAAAAGAGAACAATCTTGATCTTTCCTTTGAGCATTGACAACACAAAGCAAAACGAGGGACTCAAGTGACTTTTCATGCTGACTTACTTTTCTCCAAGTGGCAGTGGGTTAGGAATCCTTAAACAACCACTTTTGCTTAGCACATAGCAAACAGGTTTGGTAAGCCGATGTTTGGGAAGAAGCTTATTTTTATTCAGTTGTGGTTTCTGTGGAATTTTAAGCCTAATTAAAAAAAAGTGAAAGATGGTTTGTTTGGATGTATGGGGTATTATAGATAGATATTTTGCTATTCCTGTGTTCATCTCACTTAAAAAGAAAAAACAAACAAGTCAGACATGTGTGGGTGGAGTTGTAAGAAAAGGGGAAAAGGTGAGGAGGAAGTACTTTATTTAAAATGATAGACTTTACAAAGCAGTGAATTAGTAGAGCATCTCAAAGGGGTGTATAGGGGTTCCTGGTGAGGCAGTGTAGGAAGTGAACTTGACCACAGGGAAATGGACTAACTTCCTCAGGGTCTAAGGCAGAGGTCAGAAAGCCGGTCTGCAGGATCACATTTTCTGCTTTTCTAGAGTTTAATCCACACCCCCTGCACATCATCTAATAATCACTAGGAAAAATAAATGAGAGATAGCAGAAGATGGAAGAGTGAATGCAATCTTCTGAAATCAGAATATTGGAAGCTGAATGAAGTTACATAGTGACAAACAGAAAAACAGAAAAAGAGAGCCTGTGAAGATGACCCAAATCCCCCAATATTAAACTCCACACGAAGACTTTTTATAGGAAATGTGTAAGGAAGAGTTTTGGAGTTTCGTCCTCAGAATTATGAGCAATACTAAAATTCTCAGGAAGAACTCCAAACTTAAGACACTTAAAATGCTTCCCAAGTAAGTCATGTGTCATAAAATGGAATAATGGGAACTGGCCAATGTGAATTAACAGCTGTCAGGGGCTGGAGAGATAGCACAGCGGGTAGGGCGTTTGCCTTGCACGCGGCCGACCCGGGTTCGATTCCCAGCATCCCATATGGTCTCCTGAGCACCGCCAGGAGTAATTCCTGAGTGCAGAGCCAGGAGTAACCCCTGTGCATCGCCAGGTGTGACCCAAAAAACAAACAAACAAAAAAACAGCTGTCAGCAAGGAAATATAAAGAGGGAGAGGAAAAAAAAAAGAAATTGTAAGCATTGAGAGAGATTCAGTCAAAGATTTGGGAAAGCAGTCATGCGGAATGAATGATGCTATGAGGACAATTTATCTAGACACTGAAGATGCTTTTAGTTGAGTAAGAATTAAGTAAGGTTCGTGACTCAGGTGGGTCAGTCAAGAATTCAGGCACTGAGGGTAGAGACATGCTCAGAGTGATTTTCACCCAACAATCAAGGGAAGGCAAAGCTTGGAAGGGTGTAGATGGTTACTCCCAGTGCTTTACCAGGAGTGATGTTTCTGCAGAGATTACGCACTCAAATTGCCAGAGCAGGACCAGCTTCTCCCCGGGGTCACTATTTCTCCATCTGTCATCAGGGCAATTGAATTTGGAAGTCTATTAACTGCCTCACCCAGGGACTGAATCTTATTAATTCAGAAATTATCTCTGTCCTCTCACTGACAGGTAAAAAGACGACTGATGAAGTCAATGAATGTACCAAGTTTTTTTTTTTCCCTAATAGCAATAGCTCTTGATTACATTATAGGAGCTATTTCAGTAAAAGTTCTTCAACGAGAGCAGGGCTAAAGAGGGAATTTCAGGAAAGCTGTATTCCACATAAGTTCCACAGAGCTGGTTTAAAAATCATTGCCACGGAACAATGCAACTTGAGACACGTTGACTCACAATTATTGAGATTCAGAAATAATATTCTATATGGAAATTTAAATGATGTGGTGGGGGTGTGTGAAGGGAAGGAGAAATTAATTTAACTCCATTTGCCGATGTGACCGAAGCACTACTATTTTTAGGTATAATCCAAACAGTGCATATCTTCTCCATTTTGATTAGTAGCAAATTGGCAGGGAGTCAAAAGAATTAGAATTTCTCAGCACATTATGCCAGAAACATACAAATAAAACTAAATTCTTGTGCCAAAGTGTTTAATTTAAATCGGTGCTAAGGTTTGATGCTTTTATCTTCAAAAAAGAACAAAAAAATGTTTTTTTTTTTCGATGACTGACCACAAATATACTTAATTTTCCTTTGGTTCCTTGGTTAGAAGTTCTTGTTGAAAACGACAATGCTCATACAATACTGATACTTTGGATGCAGTATTTCCGCCTGGCAATTTCACATATTGCCAGAGGAAGTCAGCACATTCAACAAAATGTGAAATTAAAATAAGCTAGGAAAATGTGCTTCACAAGGAAAGGTTTCACAATAGCCACTTAGAAGTTATTAATAATTCGAGTTCCAAAGTAAGCATGAGCTGAAAGGGAAAAAAAAAAAGCAACTCTTTTTGCAGAGTTCCTTATAGGCAAGTTTCCCCAGCCACGACACAGCTGTCTGCTTTAACCAGAACTTGTTTTTATGCTTCTGGGGGAAGAAATCAGAGCTTCTGGGACAACATATACCTGAGAGAACTTCATAGTGTGTGACCCAAGCCTAACTTCCTGTGTGAGTTCATCAGTGAATCTCCATCCTACTGAGGCTCACGGGTTTGAGTTTAGGGTTTGTGCCTTGGCTGCTCTGTTCCACAGACACTGGGAAAGGCAGCTGTTTGAGTTCCTCACCTTCCTGTCATTTTGTCCTGTGAGCCCTGCCAATGTAACAGGCTTAAACAGTTCCAGGGGATTCAACAACTGTGAGTGGAGCCTCACTCCCCATTTTTCTATTATAAACCCATTTTTGGCTTCTTCAAAGACAACCGAGTCATTCTCCTGGGTAACTGACATCCCTTCCCATGCTTCATTTCCCATGCTTGTAATCCTAAACTAGGGAACCGAAGGAACAAACAAGAGATCTTTCTAGTTCCTACAAATACATATAACCCCCCAAGATGATAGCAGTTTCTTTGATTTTTAATGAAAAGTTTAGATCTGCCTAGTAAGTAGTTAACTGACATCTATTTGTTAATAAAGTCTGCAGGACCTTCCTGATTTTAAAAGCTGAGTTTTCATGGGCCTGTAAGGTGGGTTTGGAAAACTGTTTATTTAAATGTGAAGACAAGCAGTCAGGAAATTGGACACTAAGAATTTACCTGGCTCTTGTGACTGTAGAGTTATTAATTAAGTTTCCAGCATAACCAAATAAGAACAGTGTCCTCCCCCGCAGCCCCCTGCAAACAAAATGCCTCTTACATACTTATAGTCCAAGAAGGAGATTAGAACCACATTGCATGTAGTTCCTATGAAAAAACGAGAGTGACATTTCTCATCCTTATAGCCACTAAAATAAGTTTAATCATGTCTTTACACACACACACACACACACACACACACACACACACACACACACCACAGGTTTGGGGGCCACACCTAGCTGTACTTAGGACTCATTTCTGGGTGACTTTGCTTACTCCCGGCAGTGCTTGGGAGACCATATGGGGTGCCAGGGACAAGGCAAGCACCCTGCCCGCTGTACTATTTCTCAGGCCTCTTTATATTTAAAAAAAATTTTGGCATCTTGCTTCCTTTTTGCTGTAGAAAGTGGTTGAAATTTAGAGCAGCTTTTGTTAAAACTACTGTTAAATGTTCATGCAACCCTTTGCTGGTTGCCATCATTAAAGCTTTTCTCTTTGATCTTTAGAATACCCCATTGTAAAAAAAAAAGTGAAAAAAAGGAAAAGAAATAGAAAATCTTGACTTTTGTCTGTAATGAGTTACTCTAGAAGTTAAATCTGTGTCAGCCCCAACTTTATACTTATCGCTTTGGTTTCTTTCCTGAGGATCATGAAAGAAACCGCCTGGGTTAAAATGCAAAAATAAATACTCCGCCTTTTTTGGGGGGGGAGGAGGCAAAAATTAACCCTAGGATGGGATTTTATTACACTTTTCCTAGGAACAAATCTTATGAAAAATATTTGTGGGGCTTGTCATTTTGTTAGGAAATAAAAAAAAATCCCCATTTGCTTTTACCTGTGACCTACCCATCCGGAATTTCTGCTGGAAGGATATATTTAATTACACAAGAGAAAAATATTTACTTAACAGGCCTTTTATAAATTTTCGCTTAACCATGAAAGCATTTTACATTCTAGACAGCCCCTGCAGAAATCTGCACACCCACCCTGATCAGGTATAAGCTGCATTTTTCTATTAGGAAACCAAAAAACAAACCATGAAAGCCACTTACCACTTTCCAAGTAGGCAACCGATAGTTTAACGAGTTAGTTTTCTCTTCTGGATTTCTGGGCGAGTTGCAGCTGAGTTATCTGGTCCCATCACTTCTTTCTGAAGAAGACAGGCAATCCCAAATGATACTTCCTAAGTCAGGAGCAGCAGATGGAATCTTGAAAACACCTACAAGCTGTCTAGAATACTTGGAATCCGGCTGTGAAATTTTAGTCTGTAGTTCCCAGTTAGGTGCATGCCTTATTTGGTCTAGAGGCTTTTGGCTATGTTATTGAGTCATGAAAAGCTATTAAAAGAGCTCTATGGGAAATCCAGCCTATATTCCAAACCAGTCTTTTCCATAATCACTGAGCCCCTACAGACACACGGCACATAACCTTGATTGTGCTTCACTGGTATTTATTGCACATGGACCAATTCCTCACACAGTAGTTAGTTGCACCAGAGTATAAATACTTGGTAAAACACAGGCGGAAGTAGAATTTACACACAAGTGCTATTTTTTTTTTTACCAGATTCACTTGGGCACTTGGACATAAAAAAATAAAAAAAAATTCTTAAGATAATTATATGTATACTATGGATACAATTACAGTACCATGATAAGAGTATAAAAATGTATCTTTCCAACAAATCATGAGCTCAATAACAGCATCGACAACAAAAGTAGAGTTTGAATTTTATTTTAGTTTTAAAGACCCCCCCATTCCCTCCCCCCATAAAAAAATCTTTTTTTTGTGCAAGTAACATCTTCTGTGGACTTTACAATCCTTAACACTGTGCAAAAATGGCATTTTGACTCATTCCTTATTTTGTATTTTTGTTTTTACCCACATGTGCAGTAATCTGAACTGTTTTCTTTGTGTATTTTTTTTCCCTTTCTCTGTCCTCTCCTCAATGGACAGTCACATGGTACAGAGGCTCAGCGCCTGGTCCTTCCAGCTAATATTGATACACAAATAAGCTGTTTAATATAAACAAGTCTTTCTATCTTGCTGTGCAATCAATGTGCACAGAATGAGGTAGAAACCCTGACCACCCAGACGCACGGGAAGGGCAGATTTGCCCTGGAAAGGAGAGCAAGGGGAAGGGAGGCTGCTTCCAAGCACAGCCTCCCTTTTCTCGAAACGTGGCTTTCGCTTCATCCTTTCCCTTTGCTTTTAAGAACAGGAGAAACCATTCCTCGGGAATACACCGGAATTTCTCTGGAAAGCAAAGGAAAACCTGTCCTGACACCCTGTCCTCCCCTCTCCCGCCCCGCCCCTCCGGATGACTGCATCCCGAGAACGCGGTGGCAGCCAGCTACACGGATTCTGATCGCCTAGCGCGTCTCTCCTCGCGGGGGGCCCCACCGCCCCTCCCCAAGCTGGTCCTTGCAGAAAGTGTCAAAAACCACTCGGAAAGGGGGTACGGGGGGGAAGCGTCTACAGATGCATCATCACACGATCACACACACACACAGAAAGAAGGTGGAGGCGCACGGACGAAGAGCAAAGAAGCCCCCCGAAAAAGCCATCAGCCGCGTTCCCGCCCCGTGCCCCAACTTCCCTGTCTGTGCCAGGGGCCCCGCGGCTTTGCTGTCGGCCTGGGCTGATTTGGAGACGTGGAGGTTCGGCGCGGGCTTCGAGTCCACCTGCTTTGGGGTCTTGCGTAAACAGATTCCTTGGCCCCGGGGAAGGCCATTCGGGGTGGGGGGGCGCCTGGGCTGGTTTCCTCCGGGGGAGGGGGGTGGGACGGGTGCAGGCAGACGCCGCGTTTGCCCGGGCCGGGGCTGCGGGGACCCGGGCGCGGCGCGCTAGACCTTGGATTCCGAGGCGCCGCCGTGCCGGCCCGGCTCGTCCAGGCTCGAGTCGCTGTCCGCCGCCGCGCCGCCGTTGCAGCCGGCCCAGGGCTCCAGCAGGCGCGCGGGGGGCGCGGCCCCGACGACATCGTCGTCGTCGTCGTCGTCGTCCGAGGCGCCCCCGGGCGACGGCGGCGGCCCGGCCACGGTCAGGCAGCCCGAGGCGCGCGAGCGCTCGCCCGAGGCCCCGCGGCTGCGGCGCGCGGCCCGGCGCACGCAGCACAGCAGGCGCTGGAAGGCCTTGCGGAAATCGGGGCTGCGGCAGTAGATGATGGGGTTGAAGGCCGAGTTGGCGTAGCCCAGCCAGTTGAAGAAGACGAAGAGGCGGTCGGGCACCAGGTCGCGGTGGAAGGCCTTGACCACGTTGGCCAGGAAGAAGGGCAGCCAGCAGAGCGTGAACACGCCCATGATGATGCCCAGCGTCTTGAGCGCCTTCTGCTCGCGCAGGGCCACGAGGCGCGACGGCCGCCGCTTGCTGGTGCGCCCGTTGGCGAGGGGCGCGGCGGGGCGCGGGGAGCCCGGCGAGGGCGCGGGCGAGGGCGGGCGCGCGGGGCCGCCGAGGAAGCGGCGCTCGCAGCTGTCGATCTTCTTCACCTGCTTCTGCGCCTCGCGGAAGACCCGCAGGTACACGAAGGCCATGATGCAGAGGGGCACGTAGAAGGAGACGACGGACGAGGCGATGGCGTAGGCCCGGTTGGTGACGAAGTCGCAGCACTTGGGGTCGTCGTAGCAGCGTCTCGCGTCCTGGCCCTCGTCCCGCCACCAGTGCATGAGGATGGGCAGGAAGGACACCAGGGCCGAGATGGCCCACACGGTGCACACGAGGACCCGCGCCCGCGCGCGGGTCAGCAGGCTCTGGTAGCGGAAGGGCGACGTGATGGCGAGGTAGCGGTCCAGGGCGATGACACACAGCGTCTCGATGCTGGCCGTCACGCACAGCACGTCCAGCGAGGTCCAGAGCTCGCAGAAGAAGGAGCCGTACTCCCAGCGGCCCCACACCACGATGGTGGCGCCGAACGGCACCACCAGCAGCCCCATGACCAGGTCGGCGCTGGCCAGGGACATGATGAAGAGGTTGGTGAGGGTCTGCAGCCGCGGCGTCTTGGCGATGGCCACGATCACCAGCACGTTGCCCGCCACGATGAGCAGCACGATGAGCGCCATCAGCAGGCCCATGCCGGCCGTCCACTGCTGCGAGAGAGGCGCGGCGCCCTCGCTGGCCGGGGTCAGGGGCGAGGCGGTCGGCGACGCGGGCACCAGCAGGCGCGCCGCGGTGGCCGCGCCGTCGGGGAGCGGCGCGGCCGACGAGGACAGGTTGCCCGGCTCGGAGGCGCCCAGGGCGAGCGCCCCCGCGCCCATGCCGAGCTGCGGAGGCCGGGGGCGGGGGGTGTGGCGGGGCTGGGCCGTGGTTGGGGAACACCCCAGGGGCCGGGGCGGCGGGGCGCGCGGAGGGAGGTCGCGGCCAGGTCAGGGCAGCCGCGGCGCGGGGCCGGAGGCATGGGCGCCGGGCGCCGTCCCCGCCGCAGCCAAGCGCTGTCGCCGCCGCCGCCGCCGCCGCTGCTGCTGCTGAAGCCGCTGCCGCTGCTGGAACAGCCGCCGGGACCTCAGCATGTTTCTGAGCGCGCCGAGCCCGCAGCCCCGGCACCCAGCACCCACCCCACCCGGCTCCCACTCCCCTAAGCCAGCCCCCGGGGCCTCGCGTCAGGCTCCCGCAGCCAATCGCGGCAAAGGCACGCCCCTCTCTGCTTCCCCCCTGTCCAGCTGCCCGCACCACCCTCCCCCTCCCATAGCCAGTTCTGCGGCGCTGGGGAGTCGGGGTGCAGATCGCCCAGCGAGCGCCACCCCGGCGCCCGGAGCCGGCCTCTGCGCGCGCCCCTCGGTGCTCCGGCTAGTTGCAGTGCCCCGTTCCACCCCCGCGCTCCCTGCAGCGCCGGGCTCCCACCCCCAGTGCCCGCTCCCCTGCTGCGTCCCCCACTCGCACCCGCGCTCGGCTCCCCCTACCCCGACGCCCCCGCTCCCCACCGCCCACCCGAGTACCACCTGCGTCCAGTTCCCTGCAGAGCGGAGCGCGCGCTCCCTTTAGCGGGGACCGCACCGGAGCGCCTCGGCTGGCCTGTCGGGCGGCGACGTCGCTCCCCCAGATCGGGCAGCAGACGAGCGGCGGGTGGAGAACTCTTTTTCCCGGTCGGGAGGGAACCCGGCCAGCCTGCGTCCTGCCAGCTCGGAGATCGGAGGCGGGTGTGAGTGAAAGAAACTTTTTTTTTTTTTTTCCGCCGAGCGCCTAGCTGTGCGCAAGCCGGGCAGCTGTCCGGACCGTCAGCCCCGCACGCAGGCCGGCGGGCTCTGTGTTTGCGAGGAGCTCCTGTTGTTCCAGCGCCTCTTTGGATGGCGAAGCCACGCGAAGAGTTGTGCATTAACAGCTCCCGCTGACGACCACTCGGAAAAACACACACTGCGTGAGCATGATGCAACTGTGTGCGCGGTCGCTCCAGCCAGCGCCGACCGGGAGTTAAAGGAGTCCGCCCGGGGAAGAACGCGTTTAAGCACGTTGCAGACCTGTCGCGCTCAGTCGGAACACCTGTGTGACGTGACTGTGATCGTCTGAGCTGGGTCCATTCAAACAAAAAGGCACAGCTAGTGTGGGGTGGACGTGATGACGTCATTTCACATTTCTGGCTCTGTTGCTGGACCAGGTTGCGGGGGCGGGAGTGGGGTGGGGGTGGGGAGGTCTCCCCTTTGCCCAAGTTTCCAGAGTCTCCAAACTCTCCGATTCCGTGGGGACGGATAAGAAGACCCGTCAACACAACGGGGAATTTAAGTCGGCTGGCTTTAGGAGTGAGGTGTGTGGCATTTTGAGTAGTTGGCAAATGAAGTGCTTTGGTTAGTGAGTCCCTAAGGCGGTTGTAGGTGGGTGAGCTGGGGTGGGGGTTGGGGGAAGGGACGAGGGGGGGTGGGAACCCCCCTAGGATGGCTATAATGCTGCAGCTCAGCGGGGTTTTGCAGATTTCTTTAATTTAGCCATGGTAAGGTCTTCAGCTCAGTCTCGAAAATAAAAAGGCTTCGATGGAATCCTTGAGCTTCTGATTGCCAATGTTAGGGTGTATTAAAATATTATGTAACATGTACAAGTCTCACTGCATGTTCCTGGAGCTAGCAGACGCCAGTGGGCTACACTAGCATCCAACAGGGATGAATGGAGATGTTACTGGTGCCTGCTCTCGAGCAAATCGATGAACAACAGGATGACAGTGCTGCAGTGCTATAATATGTATATATATACATATATATATATGCAAGAAAAATGGGTGTCTGGACTAAACACAGTCTCATTATTTTGTGGGCAGAAACTGACTTCTGCAAGTGCCCAGGTCAGCTGAAAGCCATGCTTATTTAGTTTAGCCACCTTTTCAGACTTCAGTCCAAACATGTTCATTTATTTGCTTTAGGTCCACACTTGATCATCAGTGTTACAATGAGGTTGAAGATGGGTGATATACTTGTTTATCCCCCTCTGCCCTTGTATTGCCAACTCGGGACTGTGGAAGGCAGAAGAGGGTGTGTGTGGGGGAAGCAAGGAGTGTGAGGGTTTGCCCCAAGTTCAGCGTCATATTCCAAGTCGCCAAATCTCTCCCCTTCTTGCTGTCTTCTCTGTTCTGGGGAAGTCCCAAAATAGTCAAGGGACTGGAAGGCGCAGGAAAAAGGGTTCTGAGAGTTGGGCTGTGGGGTGAGGTGTAGGGAATGTGGGCTGGAGGTGGCTTGCTTTCTGGGCCATTTTCCTGTCAAGGGGTGTTACTGGAATCCTGTGAGCCAAGCTCAAGTGTCCCTGAAGGGCAAAAGGACTACATTTCTGTGAGCGATAAGGGCAGAATCTGTTTTGCAGAGGACCCCTGCAGAAGCCTCACTGCTAATGCCTTTACCATACGTGTAGAGACAGGCCATTTCATGACTTCTGTGTACAGATCTACATTTATACACACCGTATATCTGAGTGTGAGATCTGAACAGGACGAAAATTCTGGAAATTTCCCCCCTGTTCATTCATGGAAACATGACACTTCTCTAAAACTTTGGACAATCCACTCATCAAATCATAAATATTCCCAGCCAGAGGCCATTTCAGGTGTTCCAAGAGAGGGCCAAGGCATATAACGGGGTTCAGTGGATTTGGGAGGTGGGGGTGCTTTCCTTCAGTTGGACTCAAGGAAACTGTAACTCAACTGTAATTCAAGTTATCGGTGCTTGATTTGAATTAGTTTTCTTTTGAAATAAGATTTCCTTACATTTCCTTTTTGGGGGGCGTTGGTACACCTGGTGTTGGGGGGGGGGGGTGTCCTCCCTAGGACCAGTAACTGGGAAACCAGATGGTACTGTGGATGTCAGGCTCCCTTGAGCAAAACATGCCACCCCCTCCTGTGAATCATCTTCCTGGCCTTCTCAGAGCTCCTTAATTTCTACATTTCCTGGCACCTTTTGGCAATTTTAAGCAAACACTTTTTGTCCTTAGACAAGGATACAAGATTAAGACCAAAAAGCCCAGTATTTTTCTTTAAGTGGACATTAGATATTGCAAGTTTAAAATGATCCGCGGCCCCACTTCCCTATTCTCTACCATTGAAAGGAATCTGTTTCTAAGAACTGGTGGTTAACAGGTTTCCAGAATAGAGATCAACAAGCAGGCACGGACGAGTTGGTGGGCTTAATCCTTGAGTTGCCTGCCCCTCTTCCCCATCGTCCTCCTTAGTGGTCCACCCACACCTGGGCTTGCCTTGGGACCCCTTTCTTGCCAGCTTCTAGCCCTCCTCCATTTAATCTGGCCTGCCAGAGCCAAATGGTATTTTTGTACTCAGTATTTCTAAAAACCTGGTTTTGACCAAATTGTTTTTCTCTTCACAAACTTTCACTCCACAATGTGCCATTCCAAGCCCTCCACAGTCCAAATTCCAAATAGCCTTTGCAGTGTCCTCACGTCTGGGAACTTCCCACATCTCCTCACCTGCAGTTCTGTGTTCAGAATCTCCCTTTCTTCCTTCAGCTGTGCCCTCTCAGTGGGTTCCTTCCACCAAGACCCCTTCCTTATTTCCCTCTCAGTGGGTTTCAACCTTCAAGAACTGATGCTAGTTTTTGCATTTTGTGGCCAGCCTTGGCCACTGATTCTGGGAGCAGTTTCTCCTGTCCCTGCCTATAGTGTTTCTTTGTTTACTGCATAATTTCTGTTTACACAGAAATTAGGATGCATTGCCTTTGGACCTCTCGCTTATTGTTTGCATGTTTCTCTTTTTTTCTTCCTATCTCCATTGTAAGTTCATTGGGACCAGTACTATCCTGTTATGCATTTTTATCTCCCACGTTTTAACTTAATTGACATTAAGCTATGGTTCACTATATAATGTTTCATTTATTCACTTAATAAATTGATAAAATTATCTCACTAGCTTGAGAAATAACTGCTTTTGAACTTACAGTCTTTGCTCATGCCTGTCATTTACAACAGTAATTCATTGTCCAGAAGCCTACTCAATATGTTCACATATGCATTTCAAAATCACTTAAAAATGTAAGTATACTCGGGACAAATATATACTAAATGGATTCAATAGTGAATAAAGTAGGGCTGGAAAAGAGATGATGTGTAGAAGGGACCATGGGATCCAATGATTGAAAAAAGAAGTACTACCCAATCTTTATAAATGTTTCAGATGGATGGCTCTTTTCCTTTAAGTTTTTTTTTTGAGAGGGAAAGAGGCAAGGGTCACATGACAATGCTCAGGACTTACTCCTGACTCTGTGCTCAGGAATTATTCCTAGTGGCACTTGGGGGAACTACATGGTGGCCTGAATCAAACCTGGGTCCTCTGCATGTAAGGCAAGTGCCCTATTCTCTATACCATTATTCCAGTCCATTGACAGGTATGTTCATCCAGGTCTTTCTTTTCCAGCATTTTTATTATTTTTAAAATTTTATTTCTGGGTTTTGGGGCCACTTCTAAGTGATGCTCAGGGGTTACTCTTGATTCTGCACTGAAGGATTATTTCTGACAGGGGACCACCTGGGATGCCAAGGACTGAACCTGAGTTGACCGCATGTAATCCAAGTGCCCTACCTGCTGTACTATTGCTCTCAGAGAACAGCAGCTAAGTTGAATCTACTTTCAAGTGTGAGATCACATTCAAAGCAGACATGGTCATAACCACATATGGTTTCTACCAATGAGCTTACTATGACCATTACTCTTTAAAAACAATGGACCTGACTGTTCAAAATAAACAGCCTAATTAAACAACTCAGGGAGATGAGCAAAAGGAAGACTGAAGGGGCATTTCCAAGTTAAGCCCCAATAAGTCTCTCCAATCAGAAAAATGCTTTCCAGAAAACTTGGCCTTGTGACAGATGCTAGAGTGAGGGATTTGTTGGTCAGAGCTCAGATGGCGTTTTCTGAGTAAAGATGACCACTTCGTACAAAGAAGTCAGGCTGCTAAAACAGTCCTTCGGTGCTGACCAATCACTGAACAGCCTGCACCCACTGCTAGCCCTGAAGGTCACAGGCTGGTTTAGCAACCAGTTTCCCCAGGGACAAGCCACTCCATCCACTGTGATAAGGAGGAGCACAGAGAAGAGTGGAGTGATCAGAGCAAGGGATAGGACTTGGAAAATTCACAAGTCACCTTCTCTCCCACTTCTTTTCTGTGTGCAGCCTCTCTTTCTGGAGGGTCTGATTAGTTACTCTGAACAATGTTAGGAGCTAATAATAATAATAATAATAATAATAATAATTAGTAATAACAGAAAATAGTCTTCCAAATTTGGAGGAACTGGAAAGGGTGGAGACCCCAGCAGCAGAAGATCCTGTCAGGATTTTCTTGCCCTTAAACAATGGTTTCATGTTCAGAATGGCCTCATAATTGCTTTCTCACAGGTCTGTATATGAATAAAAGGAGAACATTCACAAGAAATATAAGGAATACAAGAAATGCAAGGAATACAGCAAGAAATACATGGAGTATATTTCTAGGGTACCTAGTACTCAAGGATCACGACATTTTCAAACATAAAAGGTGTCAAGATTGACTTGTACGAAAAGAGTCAGTTCAATGAAATAATCTTCTCTTCTTTGGTTTGACCCCACTTTTCACACGAGAGATACTATGATTCAGCTCAGACCATAGCTATTTTTCAATGCATTTGATTTTGGGCAATTCATCATTTAAGAAAAGTTTCTCCCTTTTTGTAAGCCCTTCCTTAAAGAGGACCCTGTTCTGTTGTAATATTTGTTTATGTAACTGTGTATCTCACTGTAATTAGATTAAATTTTTTAATTAAAAAATAAAAATATAAAAAATGTGTTTATGTGATTTCTGAAATAAATTCCTTT